TTATAAGAATTGTTTGCCTGATAAAGTAGTAATGATTTTGGCTGTACTCCAAGATTTACCTTCATCTAAAGAGGTACATCTTGTTTTCATATAATTGCTTTACTGTTATTGGCTTTTCTGCAGCTTTTCCAAGGAGATTCTGCCATCCAGCCCCTCCTGGGTAAATTGCAAACGACCTTTCGTTTCACATTTTCCAAGGACAAAGAACGTCATTTAAAAGTGACCAATTTTCCTCCTAAGAATATAAAAGGATGGAGATTCACCCAATGCAATCCTCCTGTGGTAAGAATATTATCTCAATGTTATATCAATTATTCTTAATCTTCTCTGATAGATCAGTGAGAGTCATGTTGCTGAATATAGTGCTGGTAAAAGTGCTGAGCCTCCATACATTCAAGTATCAGTACAGCCTGATGAAACTGGTGCTACTAACAAGATGTCCCATGCTTTATCTATTGATGGTATAAAGATATCATCTGATGCATCTACTGTTCAATGGAATATTGAAGTATCTAAGAATGAATTATTATCAACCACTCCTTTACCAAGTAATTATTATAATAACTTATTTATTATTATTATTATTGTTATTAGTTGTTCCATCAGTTGTTACTGCCACTTCAACTGAAAGAGTACGACCAGAAAGTAAAGCTAAAATATTTATTTTATGTAACTTCATGTTCATCTATTAGTTATTGCACCAGTTGCACCAGAAGTTGCTTATAGAGTGATGTCAGAATGTATTTCAGCTTTCAAACACTGTGGGATTGATCTTCACTTCTTAGCAGTGAAGTTATTAGAGAAGAAGATAATAAATAAAAGACAAAAGAAGAAAGCCACTGATGAACACAGTGGATGTACCACTGACCAGAGAATGGATCAACTACTTGACATTATTAAAGACTCTGTACAACAAGAGGGAAAGGTTTTTGAGTATATTTTAGAAATACTCAAAGACGAAGATACCATACTAGCTAACAAACTGTATGATGATATGATTAGTAAATATGAACAATATAAATAGTAATGCCAACATTTATTATTATTTTGTTTGATTTGTATTACAATAGCAAAGTTAGTAATTATATATAGTACCCATAATTGAGAGTGGACTTTAAAGTATTTAGTGTTTATTTTTCTTCTTAATGTTTGTATTAATTGTAATGAATTGTTAAAAGTGTGAAAGAATGTGGATTAGCTAAATGAGAATATCTCTATTTCCTTATTTCAATCCGCAACACCAACTCAGTATTGGTGGAAGAAAAGGTCATTAGTAAAAGTACTAACATATAGTTTAGTCGAGAGTTTAGTAGGTATGTAATTTATATGAAAATTATCCTTGCATTAGTATGTACAAAGACTGCTTTCTCTTTTTCATTATTTCTGGCTTGAAATCTGTATGATCAGCCATGTGACAGTGATCCGAGCAGTGATCATAAAAGAAGTAAAAAAAGCCACTCACCTTTGCAAGTTTTGACAAAAGGTTGCCTCAAATTTGATTACTAGCTGACCACTGGTTGTGGTTAGGAATACTATCTGCAAGAAAGTATAGTGCCTTTTGTAGTGTCTGGAGTAAAAGATTATGTGCTCTTGCCTCTTTTGCATTCTATGAATAACTTAATATCCTTTTAATATTATTGATTGAAAAACCTGTGACAATACAAAATAATATTTTGATTTGTGATTAAAGAGACAAAGGAGGGAGAGGTGAAGTGTATTTTCTTTATTTTTTCTGTCTTTTCTCTACAGTAACTGATTTCTTGTCTCTTTTCTTTAAACCATCCAAATGAGCTTTAAGAAGATTGGAATAGGCCTATAGGGAGGAAGAGAGAGAGAGAGAGGAAAGTTCTAAAACTACATTGATGAAATGTGGAGTGATTGTGTGTGGTGACTTACCATTTGAAATCTAGTCACATCTCTAGCACTAACCTAATATGAATGAGATC